AAAACAAGGGCAGAAAGCTGTGATGGACCCCTTCAATCATTAGATCGATTTCTATATTACTATATACAATATCAATTGCAAATGCTTTGTGCTGATGCTGAATTTTGTATTTTATTATCTTATCATCCAGAGTCTGAGAGTCGAATTTTTTTTTTAATTGAAAAAAATAATCTTCTAATTAATATATTATTAGACATTTGTGACACTATTTTATATGATTCAAAAATGTTTGAATGGAATTCTTTAATTTAAAAAATTGCAAATCCTTTATCTGACATCACTTCATGATCTTCTCGTATAAGTGATAGTATATCTGACTTCTCTGTAATTTCAGAGTCTGATATAGACTCTGGATAGATGTCACTGAAAAAAAGGCCCATTCCATGAGGAGTTATTCCAATAAGGGCTTTCCCTGTATGAGTGTTTTTATAGTGAGAGAACATTAAACTACTCAAATCAAGATTAGAAGCATGCTGAAATTTGAATTCAGTGGCATCTAACAATGTCTAGTTATAACAATGTCAGTTAATCCATTACCAGTTTTTACAAATATATCTGGCATTTTCTTTAGAAGAAAACTACCATCAACTTTTAAATCTATTTCATTAAAAAGTGTAGCACAAAATATTACCCAACCAGTGAAAATTCTATGTACAGTTGTATAAGACTTTTCAAGCAAAAATGACATACATTTTAAATCTTATCCATGACAACATACAGTCAGAATACTAAAGAACTGTGTTTCATTATTAACCGTTTTTTCACCTGTATTTTGACAATCTGGGTATGGTATAATATGTAAATACGGTTGAACACATTCAAAAAACATATCAAAATTTTCTTTGGATACCCCACATAAGTATTGAAATGTTTGTTTTCTTGATTTAATATTTTCATAGGTAAATTGTTTTGCTCTTTAATTACCTATGCTACAAGAGAGATGCATAATTTCAACTTTTAACTCTTGAATTTTTACACTTTGCTTAAGGATTTTATTTTCAAGTTTGGTTATGCAATTTTTTTTTTTTATAACAGTTTGCAATAATTCAATTGTCTTTAAGGATTTTTCAAGTTGTTTTTTAATTCAGTTTTTGAAAATTCTCTAGTTTTTTTATTAGTTTGTTTTGTAGGAACTATGAAGGTTCGTCTGTTTTTAAAACTATTTACATTTTGAGCTATTGATAAAGCAGTTTTATCTTTTTGAAGTATTTTTAAATATTAAAAACTTCTTTGCTTTGTGCGTTGTCGAAATTGCGTTTGTATAGCTTTTTTTCGAATTTATAACTCTTTTTTTAAGCTTTTCCGACTGATCTGGAGGAACAATAATGTCAGGGTAATGCTCGGTGTTATTTCTAATGTTCCAACTCCAATGGGGAGAACATATGTCTTTTTTTCCAATTTATTCTAGAAGTTTTAAAAAGCTTTATGTAAAGTTTCTGAATAAATTCATCTTCCGGCAATCGATATGTTTTTATAGAATTTCCCTCATTATCTTTAGATCTAATGTTGTTAAAACACAAATACGAGCTGCAATACCACTTCATAATTAAGAAAAGAATTAAACTGCCTAAAAACAACGAGTTCAAAACATAAACAAATATTGCGCTTTAAAAAAGTCAATATTAGTTTCCAGGTCTGACGCGGTTTGAAAAAGACTAATGAGATCCAGATTCGAAACGAGGTCTGGACATAATTTCGCGTCACGGTAAGGAAGGAGGCTAGTTAAATGCACTTTCACGGTGCTCTGTGACAAAACCTTTAGGTCTTCTTGGGGCACCTAAAAAAAAAAAAAAAAAAAAAACTATCGAAAAACCCCACAATCTCTCAAATAACCACTTGTGTGGTCATAATCACTCCAAAATTAAAATGGAGCCCAAAAAAGAAATCCTTTGCCCCAAAAACCTCAATAAAAATGTATCATATGTCTATATTTAACCCATTAATAATTTTACCATTTTTATACAATTCTGGCCTACTGTGCAGCTGTTCTTTTTGATAAGACCTTATGGTCTTCTGCGAGTTTTCCGCGTTTTTTTAAAAACTATAACATTGTTATTTTATGAAAATTTCTATTACTTAACTTTTACATGTTTAATTTCTTTTTGCTCACATATTACTATTATTAGTTTATTATTGAAAGTATAAAAGTTTTTTATACTACGAACTTAAATTGTGAAATAACGAAGAATAATTAAAAAAAAAAAAGTTATAAAAACAAAAACAAAAAAAATTGAAAAATTATGCAATATGGTTAGTTTACGGTCCAATAAGTACAGCTTTATATTAATTTATATACAAATTCTGCTTTGTCTTATATTACTTTATATCAGGGCCATGGAGAGGATAAAATTGTCCTCTTTTTGAGCCCCTCCCCCTCTCTCTCCGCTTGTTATGCATATATATATATATATATATATATATATATATATATATATATATATATATATATATATATATATATATATATATATATATATATATATATATATATATATATATATATATATATATATATATATATATATATATATATATATATCATAATATATATATATATATATATATATATATACATATATATATATATATATATATATATATATATATATATATATATATATATATATATATATATATATATATATATATATATATATATATATATATATATATATATATTGTTGTTTTGATTATTTGATAATAATCAACTCTTTTTCGATATATATATATATATATATATATATATATATATATATATATATATATATATATATATATATATATATTGTTGTTTTGATTATTTGATAATAATCAACTCTTTTTCGATTTGAGAGTGATCAATATAAAGTGAAATAATCACAAAATAGATCAAGAAATATATGGCTGATGAGTGCCGAAAACGGCATGAAACTTTAAGTACCGTAAAAAAGTTGTTTTTTCTCATCTAACCTTTTATTTATATATATATATATATATATATATATATATATATATATATATATATATATATATATATATATATATATATATATATATATATATATATATATATATATATATATATATATATATATATATATATATATATATACATACATATATATATATATATCGGTACCTCGGAGGGATACAACACTATGTCCATTTTTTTCCATATTGACTTTATTACAGAGTTAAAATCAGCTTTTCTCATATTTCTTAGAGGAATAGAGCACTATGTCCAAAACCAGTTAGAACCGGATATAGCATGTTTTAAAACAACACCAAGTCCACTTTCATTTAACACTTTTTGTTGAAAAAAAGCTTAAAACTCCTCTCCTGTAAAGTTGTGAAAATGTACATAGTGTTGTATCCCTCCGAGGTACAGATATATATATATATATATATATATATGTATATATATATATATATATATATATATATATATATATATATATATATATATATATATACATATATATGTATACATATATATATATATATATATATATATATATATATATATATATATATATATATATATATGTATATATATATTACATATATATTATATATATACATGTTTTGTAATGTCAGATTCAATACTTAGCCTAGCTAGGTTGTTAAGGTGACCCTAATGGTAGGCCTGAGATATTTTTTAATAAGTTTAAGTTTGCTGAAGATCCTTTTTACAGATGCTACTATTGCTGGTGCTGTACAAATATCCTCAAACTGACGCTGAGGCTTAGAAATATACTTTCTAGTTTGCACTCTGCCAAAGCATTTAATATTTCCAGTGCAACCAAATTTTTTGTCCCAAAATTGGCTTTGTGAATCATTGTTATGTGTTTCATGTGTAAAGCCGCGTTACTGGTTTGAATGCCTTTGTTGCAAATGATAGAAATTAATATTCTGTGCCAAACAACTGATATTATGATGTAGGTACTTATATAACAAACAACGTGCTCCACGAATCTTGTTTCTAGTTTTTAAAGTAATATTTAGCTGTAGCAAATATTAGCCAGTTTTACTCCTGAAAGGTGAGCTACAAATGGTTTGTAGCTCACCTTCAAATGGACATATTTGGCGCATTATTACAAACTTGAGCCCTACAATCAGCGAGTAGAACAGCATTACTCTCTAATGATTTTCTAATCATTCTAGCAATTTCACAACCATTTTTATGCCTACAATCTACTTCAAAAATCTATCACAATTTCATATCGCGGTTCATGGCGAACTAGGTAACATTAAATAAATGTTGTTTGTTCAACATGAGATGAATCTGTTGCTGAATCTAGAATTATTGCGTAGTACTTTGCAGCATGTCTTCCTTCCAAAACATGCTGCTTAATAAGATAGAAAATTGCATTAAACTCATTTTGAGAATCATTTGAGAAGTAATATACTTTTTTTTTTGTGAACGCTTTTCTTTAGAATAGGGTCTTAATTAGAGAGCTACTTTATCAGACCTAAAAAGCCATTATTTGAGTCACCAATGCCTAGTGAAGATCCTTGAAAAGCAAGGCAACGTTCTCCTAAGAAAATGATAACATTAATAATTCTTCTTAAAACTTGGTCCCATTTTCCCGATTCCACTTTAACTGATAATTCAATAAAATTATCAATACTGTTAATTATTATGCATTAATGTTTTTAAACTTTAACATACCTTCTGGAAATTTTTGATTATTATCATGTTTTGGCAATTTTAAAGGAAATTCAATATGACCTCTGGTAACAAAGTTATTCGCATTTTTACTTACTTAATTCATTTTACATTCCCATATTTTATAAAGTTCTTTAAATTTAACGTTGCTTTAGCGAGTTAGCATAGCATAGGCGAAGACTAACCAATGACAAGTTTTGTAATTGCGATGTAATGTCTTTCTATTTATAAGTAACTTACCACTATGTATATATATATATATATATATATATATATATATATATATATATATATATATATATATATATATATATATATATATATACATATATTGAATATGAAATAAGTATACCTTTGTTCCATTTTCTTGCGGGCTTAATGATAAAGGTTGAAAACCGTCTGAACATGCTTCATACCCTTGTTTCCACGAGGTTCCATTCTCATCTTGATACGCTCTTCTACAAATACAAATTACCGAAGGTAAGCCTAATGATGTTAACTGCGAAGTGTCTACGCAATCAGTAAAAGGACATGGAGAAGGAGATTTGCAAGCTTTTGCATACGTTAAAGTAGTAGCATCAATATAAATGACTACATAACAAATGAACACAATCAAAAGAATCATAGTTTTTGTAAATATCTTCTTTTTTTTTTTATATTACAAAAAATTTGATTCTTTTTTTTTCACAAAGAATATTTTTTTATGCTCCAATTAGAAATTTAAAAATCACGATAGCTGTTTTACACATAGCAATGAAGATACCCGCAAAGCAATAGCCGCAGCATGGTTCCCTCAAATAATATTGAATAAATGTGATACGTTTATTTCAATGTTTAATATTTTGCTTAACAACGCTCTAAAAGCAACTTTATTCCTGTCGCTGATATATAGATATTTCAATTCATAGTATTAACGTGGTTTAATATACTATATTAAAATGCATTAATAAATAATCATCAATCAAATTTAAAACGCTCTAAAATATAAAACTAAAATAATTTATAAAAACAACTTTCCATTAATTTTTTTACTATTATATGTTTTTTATTTAAACAGCTTTTTTTAGCAATTTTTTTAAATTTAAAACAAAATAACTTTATTTATTTACAAATAAAAATACTTTTTGAAAGCTTATAAACAATTAATTCAACTTGCACAACTATCTTATTGTTTAATTAGATCACTTATATACTTAGATACGGCTTCTAAACGTGACATGTAACACTAAAATTTGTTTTTGTTGAAATAATCTTTTGATCTTACACATTAAGGATCGTCCATAAAGTACATGTACTCGGAGGGGAGGATGGGGTCTGCAATTAGCGTATATGAGATAGGAGGACATTGGGTCAATTGTAAAAGTAAAAGAACACTAAATTAAAAAATATGATAAAATGTTGAGTAGGTAGGTTAAAAGCGCTCAAAAAAGCGTAGAGAGGTCGAAATAAAACCGTATGTACTTTATGGAAAGGTCTGGAGAGGTCGAAATAAAACCGTATGTACTTTATGGAAAACCCCTTAATTGTCAAACGATGTTTTAAGTTGGGAAAAAGAAAAAAAGATTTATTACTATAGCAATAAAGTTATGAATGACTCTTTACTTATTTGTATTTTACTTAACTTAGTTAACATTTTAAGCACATGGCCTGACATATCATTAAAAAAAAAGGTAATTATCGTTAACTTTTTTTAGAGTACCCTTTAAATATATATATCTAGAGAGTTTTAATATTTACTGTATGAAAAAGAATCTTAAAAGTATCCCTTATTTTATGAAAAAGAATATAAAAACTACTCATTGAAAATTTAAATTATTAAGTTATTACATGAAAGTAGATAAAAACAACATATGGTTATAAATTTTTAATGGTAAAAGCTAGGTCAAAGAAGAATTTAAGGATCGTTTATAATATTATTCTTATATTGATAATTATATTATTTTAATATGTTTAATATTTTTTTTATCTTTTTTTTTTATATCACTTTTTTTATATTATTTTTTATATTATTAATATTAAAAAAAAAACATTTTTATTTGTTTTTTACATTTGGAAAAATATAGAAGTTTAATCTAAATAAAAATTTCTATTTTATCACGTATATTTACTGTGGCAGTAACACTTACAGAAATAAAAAAAAATGTTAAAGGAGAATTCAAAAAAGAAACTGAAGAAATGTTTCGTAAGCAAGAGAAAACTGTTATTGATATTATTGGCGCTAATATAAAAATAATTAACAACAGATCGGACAAAGCAGAGTTAAACATCAATGTAAATGCAAATAAAATTAAAGAACTTACAAAGGAATTGGAAGATATTAAGGATAGTCTAAACTACAACGAAGAACTTGTTGACAAAAAAAATTCATAACAACAATAAACAACTAGATAAAAAATTTGAACATACTAATATAGAAAAATTTATGAAGGAAAAGCAACGAAATCTGGAAGATAGATCAAGAAGAAATAACCTACGTATCGATGGAATTGATGAAAATGGGCAAAAATCATTGGGGGGCTCTAAAGAAAAAGTTCACACATAAAAAATATTGAAATTAAACGTGCCCACCGCACTGGATTTAAGAAAGATGGACGAACGAGGACAATAGTGCTTAACCTGCAGAAATACAAAGACAAAATTAGAATTTTGAAAGAATCTCATCAGTAGACTTTTCTCGTGAGACCTTTGCCATTCGGAAAAAGTTATTTGCAGAAGTTAAACAAAGGCGCTCAAATAGTGAAAATGTCATAGTGAAAATGTTTTTGAAAAACTTATAAATCTATTTGAAGAAACTAAACATATTTTTAATATAATTTCTTTAACTGAAACTTGGATCACATTAGGTGAATTAAGTAGTAATTTTGATATTCCTCGTTTTAATATAATTTCTATGGAGAGAAAAACAAATAAGCGCGGCGGGGGAGTATTAATTTACGTTCACAAAAATTTTGAGTATTGTTTTAAGTAATGATTTGAGCGTTTCTGACTGCGATAAAAAAAATCGTAACTTATGAATTTACAAACAACCAAACTAAAATCATTTTACTAAGCTGTTCTTATCGGTCACCTGACGGCGTGTGCGAAAACCTGCGCATATTCTTACAACAAATCATTAAAAAAGGAACCAATGATAAAAAAGAAAACTATATAGTCGGAGACTTAAATATAAACTGTTTTCTCTTTTAATGACGACCACAAAATTAAGAATTTTTATGATGAAATTTTTGAAACAGGGTCAATTACTTAAATAAATCGACTCACTAGAGTAACAACCAACACAGCAAGTCTTATGGATTATACTATAACTACCGATATTTTCAATAATAATATAAAATAGGTATCATAAAAAACTGATATATCTGATCATTTTCCTCTATTTCTGAAACTTAATAAAACAAACCCAGAAAGAATCATTAATACCAAAAAGTAATAACGCATTTATAATGAGACTAATATTAAATCATTTAAAGACCAACTATCATTAATGGATTGGAAAAACATAATTTTGATGATAACGCAAATAATATTCAAGATACTTTTTTCAAAACATTTTTTTTTCTGTATATGAAGTTAGTTTCCCAATCATAGAAAAAACAATAACAACTAAGAATATCAAAACACCCTGGATCACTAAAGGTTTTAAAAAATCATCCAAATAAAACAAAAATTATAAATAAATTTTTTAAAAATAAAAACAACTTCAAGTGAAAAAATTTATAAGAGCTACAAAAACCAATTTAAAAAAATTCGCAAAAACCTGAAGTAAAATTATATTCCCAATTATTCAATACATTTAAAAACGACACAAAGCGCACGTGGCAAATAATGAAAGAAATTATTGGCAAAAAAAAAATCATGCTCCGGTTTCCTACCAAAAATGGTTAAAGTCAATAATAAAAATTTATATGAACCGAAAGCTATAGCTCAAGAATTTAACAAATATTTCACTCATATAGGACCAACACTGTCTAAAAAAATCCCTAAGACCAAATCTTTGTTTACTGATTATCTAGAACTCCTGGATAATTGCATTTGTTCAGAAAAGTTTTATTCCGAATTAATGTTTGATGAGTGTGAAAGAGCCTTCAAATCTATTTAAAAAAATAAAACAATTTGAGCAGATCAAATTAATGGAAACGTGGCTATAGATTGCTTTGAACAGCTTAAAGTTGTTCTTTTTAAAATCTTTAGGGCTTCTATTCAAGGAGTATTCCTAGAACAATTAAAAAATTGCAAAAATTATTCCTATTAAAGAAAAAAAGAAGGGGAAAAATCTGAAATCAGTAATTATTGCTCTATCTCTGTTCTCACCACATTTTCGAAAATTTTAGAAAAAATTATTTTTCGAAAATTTTAGAAAAAATTATATATAAAAATATATTCATGATTTTGACACAGTCGATCGCCATATTTTGATTTATAAACTCAAATACTACTGAATAAAAAAAAAATTTAAATGTTTTAAAAGTTATCTATCTAACCGAAAACAATTTGTACCATTCAACAATGATTATTAACCCACTTTTTTTAATATAACCTGTGGAGTCTCACAAGGTTGAATTCTTCGACCTCTCGTTTTTTTAATTTATATAAATGACTCAATTAAAGCTTCAAAACTAACGAGCATTACGTATGCAGATAATATAAACTTATTCCTTTCTAATTATGATATCGCTAAACGTTTTAAAACAGTGAACAAAGTATCTAACTGGTTTAAGTGTAATAAGTTAACCTTGAATACTAATAAAACAAAATGGGTTTTATTACAAAAAAGCGATTTCTCCCATCAAAATTACCTCAAATCTTTATCGATCAAAAGGAAATAAAAAGAGATTTTGTTACAAAATTTTTAGGTGTTTATCTTGATGAAAACATTACTTGGAATCACCTTATTGATTATATAAGCACAAAAATTTCTAACAACATGTGGATCCTATTTAAATCACGAATCTCAATAAGAAAGTCTTAATCCAACTTTATTATTCATTTACACATAAATATTTAAATATTGCCAATATTGCTTGGGGAAGTGCATAAAAAAGTAAGTTGCAATGTCTTTATATCCGTCAGAAACGCGCAACGTATAATTAATTTTGCAAATCGCTTCTCTCATTCAAAGCATTTATTTATTGAAATGAGAATTCTGAATATATACGAGTTGAATGTATTTAATAATTTATGTTTTGTATATATGTGTATAACTTATCCCTAGCCGTCTTCAAAAATCTTTTCTCTTTTAAACCAATTAGTAAATATATTTTGAGAAATAATAACTTTTTAAAGGAAATTTTTTATCAAACAAACTTTAATCAATTTTGTATTACCTATCGAGCGCCACACATTTGGAAAAAAATTGTTTTGCCAAATTTTAATTTTGAAGAACCTATTACTTTTTACCTTTTTAAAAAAAACCCTGAAAAACCTCATTCTTTCATTAGATAATATATTGAATTATTATTTGTAGTAAAAGTAAAAATATATTTTGGTCTACTTTTTTATTGTTTATACAATGTCTACATTTTTAGAAGTTAATTCCTACTTATTTTATTTATTGTTCTTATCCTATTTACTTTTAAATTTATATGTTGGTTTACTCTTGCACAAAATTCTGATGAGAAGATCTTCATGATCTTTCTTCAGACACAGATTATTTACCTTGAAATTTTGTAAAAGTTTATTAATTTTTTTTTATCTTATCTTTGTT